CCGACTAATACAATGCACTCTTGATGGAAAAGAGTATAGCTGCAATAAATCCTACAAAACAGAAAAAATGCGCAGTTAATCTATGCATGCACCAAAACAGTTGTTCTTGCAGCAAGTCGAATAGCTTTGAAGCAGGTGCCTGCAACGATTTATTCTTGCCCATACTCAATAAAACGCCAACCTCGTAGCTGAAAATAAGGGTGCACTTCGCACTCACACACACACACAAAAAAAGGAAGAAAAGCGATCGAATGTAGAATCGTGGATTAGCACAAAAGGTTAAAATCGCAGGAGCTTCCTCGCTAAAAGTTGCTATAGTTGTTCGGTGACGGAGGGCTGAAACAACTTCCCTTAGGCCCTAACGCGACGCATACATTTCGCGTAGATTCTCAGATATTTCAACGTTCAAACAAAGCTAAGAGAATGCGAAAATTTCATGTTAAAAGCACTCAAAGTTCTATCGATCCTCGGACACATCCCGGAATCCAAGCACCGGTACGGCGATGCAGAGCTGATGCTGTCTCACAGGCGTTAATATCCAGATGATCCAGAGCGATCTTGCGCAAAAACGGTATAAAGTCTCATTCCTTCATATTTTCACATTATACCTGCGTCAGCGAGCACGAAGAAGCCCCGAAGTCGTCGGAAAGCAGCTGCACATCACGGCTACCGCGCACCGAACAAACTCGCATCCGCCAGCTCTGGGCGCTGCCATCTTACCTGTGACGTCACGGCTCTTGGGAGGTCACGTGACGAGTGGTCACATTTGCGTAAAATATGGCGGCAATCGGGGGGGTGCCACTTCCGAACTTCCGGTTTATCACTCTAAGCCCCTCTACCTCGTTGTATAAGACGCTTGGCATCGCGGTACGGCAAGAACCTCTGAAGCAACGGTGCCTGCTTTTTCTGAAAAGTGAGACGATTTGCAGCCCGGGGACCGTCGGGCGACGAGAGCTGTTATGGTATCGTACGTGCATGAACAAGGCGAGTGGTTTTTGGCGCCGCCGGGAGGGCGGCCGCTTCGTGGGACAAACGTACCGTCCTAGTACTTTCGGACTTCGCTCCGATGGAACAAAATCCGATTACGCCGGCCATGACAGGACGACTGGCTCGGGACATGACTGCTGCTCGACTGCCCCATAGTGAGCGAGTATATGATTTGCATCATACTTCTTCCAAAACCCGATCATCCCTTCAAGATGACATTTTCTCACCAACTGGTGAGGAACGACGTCGACGGGGTTCAACCAAGAAGGACGGCATGGTGGTCTCTAGGGAATTGTTGACGCCATAGAGACGGATGCCGGATATGAGGTGTTCTTGCCGACAGGCCAAATGGTCGTTCGAAAGTTTACCGGCATTCAAAAAGTAAAATTTTTTATCTGGTGTAGCACACATATCCTTGTTAAAGGGGCCACAAAATCATTTTTAAACTTTTTCTTCCTTACCTGTAATCCAAAACTCAAAAGAGAACTGTGAAATCACGCAGTCGTGACATGCTAGGGCACCGGTGCGATGACCCCGAGCTTTCACCGTGATTTTTAAGCACACCGTAGAACTTGGCATTCGCAAGTGATGATAAGTTTTGTCAGGACACTCATTGGCCAGGAAAGCGAATTCAAATACCCATGTACGAATTGATTGCTGACGAGCGCATACATTCGAGCGACGCCGTTTTCGTGTTCAACGCGTGAGTTGGGGTCGGCTGACGTCATTTTGGCCTTTGTAGGCATTGTAAACAGGATATTTAGAACCATACACACATGATGATAACGTCATAGCACAGTGACATTAAGGAGCGCAAAACGTTCATAGCTACAGAAAATAAATATTAAACTCGTAAGAAATAAATACGTCTGTAACTTGTTAATTACAAAGACGAACAGCATCTAAGTTTAATAGTATGTGTTGATGCATTGTTATATAGCAGGACATTTCATATACGTCGCTTGAACAAACGCCAGTTTTTCACTTGAAAAACAAACCAAAAAACACTGCGATCAGTTGCAAGCTATTGCAACGAAAGCAAGTTATATCAAAATCTTCAGAACTGCCAATTCCTAAAATTGGCGATTAGAAAAAAAAGTTAAAGATCGCAGGAGCTTCCTCGCTAAAAAATGCTGTGATTATTCGGTAACCCAGGGCTGAGACAATTTCCGCTAGGCCCTACACGCGCCGTATACCTTTCGTTATGATTCTCAGAAATTCAGACTTTCAAAGGAAGCTGGAAAAATGTGAAAATTTTATCCTAAAAGCTATGTGGAGCGCAAGTTCGTCTGCTTCTTTTGCAGGGGTTGTGGTGACGTCAGAACGCCGAGATCTGAGTGGCCCCGATTGAAGGCTAATGGGTATACCTAAAAGCAAGCTGCCTTGAGGCCTACCCGCTATTTTTTATTCAGAACCAATCAGAGCTCGGCGTTCTGACGTCACCACAACCCCTGCAAAAGAAGCAGACGAACTTGCGCTGCGCATATCGTAAGATCGCTGATTAGTATGCTTGGGAGTTGTGTGAATATTTATACAGCGTGCGTGTAGTTGGCCAGCCATTTTCACAGTTGCGACGAGTCACTCGCTGTAGATGAGCAATTTAGCCAATGCAGTATAACCGCTAGCCTGAATTCCATAGGTCTTTAACGTGCACCACGCAGTAATGATACACAACCGCAGGCCGGTACGATGCTCATACAGATCCAAACGGGCAGGGGTGGGGATTGAACCCAGGTTGCCTGGTTGATTAGTTCCCAAGGCCCAACATGCGACGCATAGATTTCGCATCGATTCTCAGACACTCCAACGTTCAAATCAAGCTAAGAGAATGCGAAAATTGCATGCTAAATGTCCTATCGATCCTCAAACACATCCGGAAACCCGAGCACCGCTAAGGCGATATTACTAATGCTGTTGCGCAGGTACTAATATCCAGAGCGATCTTGCACAGAAAGGGTATAAAGTATCACTCTTTCAGATCTTCACGTTATACCTACGTCAGAGAGCACGAAGAAGCCCTAAATCGTCGGCCAGCTGAGGCACATCACGACCTCAGCGCTCCGAACAAACTCGCATCCACCAGCTCTGGGCGCTGCCATCTTACCGCTGACATCACGGCTTTTGAGAGGTCACGTGACGAGTCGTCACTCGGTTGCTACGGAAACCGAGCCAGCTCAGCTCGTTGCTATGGTACCGCGTGTGACCAATCGCGGTCAGAGGCGGCACAGGGAAAAGCGTGGCGCTACTCTGGCAGCTACGCTGCCATATCGAGTGGCTCTAGTCCTCCCCGAAGCGTTATTTCAGTTTTCTTCTTTTCGCTAAATATCCGTTCTATGCGCTCGCGCTCGCGCCAAGAGGACAGTGCAGAATTGCTGCTTTCGGGCCCGTGCCTTCACCTGCAACGAACGCGAAATACGTATGCTAAATTATCTAAATCCTGGTTGAGACAGTAGTGTTTGACTGCGTGCGTCTGACTGCGTTGCGGCAGCAAGAAATCAGGACATCCCTGCTGCCTATATCGCGTGCCAAGATGATTCCTTGAATTGGATTCCACGCTTGATACGAAGCACAGACGTGCCGGTGAGTGGCTTTCGGTTCTCGACGCAACGCTGTCAAACGCTAGTGTCTGAACCGGCCTTGTTTGAAGCATTTTTTTATCGAGTATGCTCGATGAAATGTGCCAAATGAACCAGAGAAGGCGAATCATGTACCTCGAGACAATGAAATAGTGAAATACACGGACATGATCGCAGATATCTGTGTACGTTCGTCCTGTCCGGCCTCAGTCGTAGTGTTCAATGCTTCATACTTCACTGCACTTGAAAGCAAAAAAATTGGGTACGACAGGCGCGCAAGTTCGGCGGAACCGAGGAGGCCAGTTGCAACTGATCTGCACGCAGAACTGACCGATCACACCTTTATTGAGAGCACGCTCTTTACTGAACCGCACAATAAAAGACGACGAGAGTATCTCGTCCGGCGAACATTCAAGTCAACTCACGCCTGTGCGTAGCTTCCTGTGCTTTTCTAGAGATTTGGTTAAATTCCTCGAGCACGACGCCAGCTGCCAGCTGTTTACTGCTGTACATGGTAAAACCCGCGACGGAACCAAAAAGGACAACCGCGATACTTTTTATCTGCCTCGGGTTTTAGCAGGTGCCTACCAAGGTTGCCTGTACTTGTTTGTTTTTTGCCAGTTTAGGCGAACTGAGCCACACGCTTGTTTCGACCGGTTCAAATTTGAATAAATGATAACCAAGCACAAAGAAAACAAGTTTCAAGTACTTTTTGAGATTTTTGAAGTGACTTTTACTATTGAACGACTGCATGCACTTGAATGTTGAATTCAAGAGTTTATAAAACGTGACTACCCCATGCTTGTCACCTGCCAACAGGGTGGTAACTCTCAATGGCTCGAGCCCAGTGGGTTGTTAAGTAAGCCTGTGGGGTAGTTACAGCCGTCAAAACGCACGATGACGAGGGGGGGCGCTCACTTTTTTTTCGAGTGTATACGACTTTGCATGCCGTCTGTTTAGGTGATTAATAACTGTTTTGTAATCTCGTGCACAGACACACACACACACACACACATACATATATATATTTTCTTTTTTTTTATTTTTTTTTTTGCTGCAATGCCGATGTACGGGGCCGAGAGCTTGTCAAGCCTCCTTTGAGGCTTTTGCCCTTTGCTCCACCATGGTTCATGGGAAGTAAAAATAGACTATTATTTTTATTAGCTACTTTTGGGGGGTAACGTGTGCATGTCTGCTGGTTTGATACCAGGACCAGGCGGATATCTTTCAGTCGCGCGCCAGTCACCTAACTGTGTTTGGAGGTTTGTGCTCGTCCTTTGTCTCTCTTGCTTTCCTTCTCCAAAGATTATTTCCGTCATTCTTGTCCAGCTCGCTTTCACCTTTGCATTTAATTGTGTTATCAGTGACATTTTATCTGGTGCAACAATATATTTATATTCGGCTCATTTGAAGACGCTGATACAAGATCGCGTTCATTCACTCTCGAGGGACAAATCGCAACTTCTGATTATCTGCGTAATGTCCCCTTGTGACGAGGGGATCCAGGCAGGGCAGCTGTCGGCCTTCTTCGGGATGGACGCTGTACTTCTGCAGCAGGCAGGTCGTGTACAGAAATATCTGCACGTTAGCCAACGACTCCGCAGGACACATTCTTTTACCTGGAGGAATGCGAAAAGGTACCCTGAGACCGGAGAATAAATAACGTAGGGGGGTTGAACGGAGCTCGCTTGAAGTAACACCCTTTGGCTAGGACTACAGGTCTCTGACCACTTTCTAACTGTGAGGAATCAAAATCAGGTAAAAGAATAATGCCATCTTTATACTCTTACTGGTATAAAATAGATAGGCGGACTAGTTGCTAGTGGTGCTACAGTGGCCAGCGATAGGAGCTAGAAGGCACGAGCGTTGATCAGGCAGTACAGAAAACCACAAAAAAATATTGGGTTGTGTGCGTGTTTATACAGCCTAGAACTTGGTCTGCCTGAACGGGCAAGGAGTCTCCTAGCTGTAGATGAGAAATTTAGCCAGCGCAGTATAACCTTTAGACTGGTGTCTTTAACGTGCACCACGCAGTAATGATACACGATCGCACGCCTGTACGATGCTCATCCAGATCGAAACCGGCAAGGGTGCGATTGGAATCATTCAGTCGGTGTACTATACGATGTGTGCGTTGTAGAGGGTGGAGGCATGGGGCGCTAGGGTTGGGTTTACATATTTGAAAACCACCACTGCCGTTCTGACGCTTCGCCCGCTTCGATCGTTGCCCGCTACTTTGCGTGTTCTATACAACCCGATGGCCACTCGGGCATTCCAGCTCATATCGCCGGTAACTGCACATCGATTTTAAATGCAAAATGATGCCAAACACCATAAAAAAAGAAACGTTGCGCCATATACAGGTTGTTGCGTCACTTCCTCTGTATTTGCTTTTGGCGGTGCTTAGTGTTAATAAACGTTCGCTGTTGGTTTTAGGCGGAATCACTGGCGAAATCAACAGCGACTGCTGATAATTTCACGAAGATTACAACGGGGCGGAAAGATTAAAGATCAACATCTTCTGCATGAGCGCTCATCTTGATGTTGATATCTGGTAGAATCACAACATGAGCACAGTATCAGAATCGTGTTCAGGCTATGTCAAAACTTGCGACACCGTTCAACCGAGGTGAGGATGAGCGAATACATAAGCTTTGCGAGCGTTGCGTTTTAGGGCAAAAGCTCTAGAACATCAGTAGTAACAGCTAAGCTTCTTCCAAATCTCCGGTTGTTTTACGGTGATTATTTTTTTATTTTTCCATGGACAATAGTCAACAATGAAATCCAGATGCGCGTTCTTCTTTTTTGGTTCTGTCATATGTTAGCAAATTATGCCACTGCTAATAGGTTATAATTTATTTAATATGCCTCGAATTCCCAATAAATGTGGAATACGTGCGCGATAATTGATAACAAACTAGCCTCCCCCCTCCCCCTTTTTTTTGAGTTGTTACAAATGTGTTTGTCGAAGTGAATGCTGGTGACCAGCTTCGCAACCACAATTGAGCTGCCTGGCTAGTGAGTGGATAAAACTGTTAAACGGCCCCTTTCTGGCTATTCGCGTTTTGTGTTTTAGAACAACCTTTGGAAAGCAAAAACGGTTTACCACCTTAATTGGGGGAATTTTTTTAGTTTTCAGCCAATTCATCAATGACCGCACAAGAGTCCTTAACACATGCCCAGCACATGCATGGCCATATATGGCGTGGGGGCAACCCCACGGTTCCTAATAAAAACACAGATACTGCCAGCATTCCTATCGCGTGGAAAAAAGGTTTGGGTTGACAAAGAACACTACACACAACTACGCCACTTGTCTAAAAGTGTGGCCATTAATGAAATGCATATAACGGTAAACTAGTCGTAATATACCACGTAATGATTTGGTTTGCTTACCGAATGAAAAAGGAAGGTGGTATTCTGGCTTTTTAATAAGTTCAGTGCCATCTGGTGTTAGAAATCTGGTAGGATCAAAGTGATCGGGTCGTTTCCAGAGATCGGGATTGCGTTTCATTCCGTTGGTGTTTGGTAAGACCACGGTGCCTTTAGGAATATTGAACCCGCCAAGGATTATGTCTTCTTTTACTCTGTAAAATAAAGTCAGTGATACAAATATGTTTTTATCGTTTACTTTTTAAGGCCATTTGATAATGCCAATAAAGACAGACATTGGTCTACATCAAAAAGTTATAAAAACTTTTATCTTGTGTTAGGCTAACGTAACACTCTTCGTGCACGTATTGATGGGATTAGGAAAGGTGTACCCTCTGGGTATCCCGAGCGAACTCTCCGTTCTCCATCGCAGTATCTCCCACATGCTGGCCGTGGTGAAGGGCATCTCCAACCGGTCCTTCCAAGCGGGCTGTCTGTTGCGACCAACGGTGCGGTCGATTTCCGCATGGATCCTCGACTGCACCGTGTCAGGGTTCTGGGCACAGACGAGCAGAATCCAATGTGCCGCATAAGGCGGTGTAGACACGCCACCCGTAAAGAAATCCAAGGCACAGCCTAGTAGATGGCGCTCTAGGGGGGGGGGGGGGTGAAAGCAAAGCTTTTTGTATTTGTATTTAACTATTCCTCTCTGCAAATGTAATCTACGAAAAAAACGACATAAAAAAACCATGCGTGCCGGCGCAAAAAAACAAAACAAACGCGTATTGAAAAGTTTAGTGAAGAAAGGTAAAAAACACAGGCGAGCTGATGAATGGTATCATTAATAAACCTGAGACGAAGAAAAAATAAAAAAAACGGACAGTACAACGAAGTCTCTAACACAGCTTGAAAATTTATTGAACAACCATCGTCTTATATACACGTCACCAACCTCCAAAACAGTTCAAAAGACCTCCTCGCCCACTTTACACAGTACCCTCACCCTCAACATAAACCGAACAACGCACACAAAGCAAACACGCCCAAAACACAAAGGGACGCCGGAACTGGTTGTTTTTTGATAGGGGAACAAAAGAATTTATAAGTGATGTTTGGTTCGGTCTGACCTTGTCAAGTGCGGAAGTTCCTGCTTTCCCTTTTCGAGTTAGCGTCCCTTTGTGTTTTGGGCGTGTTTGCTTTGTGTGCGTTGTTCGGTTTATGTTGAGGGTGAGGGTACTGTGTAAAGTGGGCGAGGAGGTCTTTTGAACTGTTTTGGAGGTCGGTGACGTGTATATAAGACGATGGTTGTTAAATAAATTTTCAAGCTGTGTTAGAGACTTCGTTGTACTGTCCGTTTTTTTTTATTTTTCCTTCGTCTCAGGTTTATTATGAATGCTTATTGAAAAAGATACTCAGTATCAAATGATGCTAATGATAGGTCTACGTTAAAAAAAAATTAGCTATTTAAAAATATAGATAGTACGGAATTCATAAATTCTTTGCCAAACTCAATCCGAATGCGCAGTTATTTTGTTATAAACGTAACTGAAATTAATTCGGAGTACAAATGATTAACATACCCCAAGATCTGTGCAGCACTTGGCTTGTGTTCTTTGCGCTAAGAACACTATTCATATTACTAAGGATTTGTTTTGTTAGTTTTATAAAACACAGTTAATCTCTATTTCATATAGCATGCAAATCAGTTTTGTCCCTCATTATACGTTCATATACTTGGAAAGGCATTGAAAACCACACCTAGGTTTACTGTGACCGCACACTTACTTGAATTTCGTAATTACTCGCTTGCACCATCCTTGAAATGAATAATTACGCTTGAATCGGAATGTGCGAGGCGCGCTTACCCCGAAAGTGTGTATTGGAGTCGTTTTTGTGCTCCTTAATTTGCTTCAGATAACCGTCAATAAAGTTGCGAGTCGTGCCCTCTTCCAAGGTATCCTGGTTCTCTTTCACCCGTTCACTGAAAAAAAAAAAAAACAGCAACACCATTAACCATAGATGACCAATACACGAATTAAAACTTTGGCCGTCAAAGATTAAAATTTCCAACATGCCTTTTATGTCACGAATGCTTAGCAGCAATACATGCTTTATTGACAGACCGTTTCGTAGTCTTCCTTAGTTACAGTCTTGGCTAAGTTACTTTTAAAAAGTAACTCGTTACAGTTACAGTTAATTTCAGAAAAAAGTAGCGAAAAAGTAACACACAGAAAAAGTTAGGAAAAACTATTGTCTGAAAGAAAGAAAATATAGACACGAATCAGTCAGATTGTCACCATAGCGGTAAATTCGAACTTTGTAGTTTAGCTGGAAAATTAGTTAACATTATAAAAATAATAAAGTCCAAAATTCAACTAAACGTTGTTTCTCTGATTTTAACACGAAGACTTGTTGTCGGAGTACTCCTTGTTGCAAAGTTTGCATATTGCGGTCAAATTGTTAGCGACCCACTTCACTACAACAAAATACTCTCTGTGCGCCGTTCACGCTAGTTTTTTGTTCTCATCAATATCCCTATCCTTGGTAGCACCAGCACATTGCTTGTTCGTTGACGGTTGCGCCGGGTTCATGGAGTCCTTGGACATAGTTCAGTACGTACACGGCAAGCCAGAAACAAACCCCGCGCAAACAACAGTAAATTTTGCCTCCACTGTTTACACCACGCCGGAGTAGGGGCGCAAATCAAGATAGGAAGCAAACGAAGTGCCCTCCGCGTGTATTGTTGTTTCACGTTGGATTTACACGATTAAAAAGCGTGCGCAGAAAAAAAAAAAAAAAAAAACGCAACAGAGATAGTGCTTCTAGATACTAAGATGTAAGTGTTCAGTCACAAAGTAGAAGCACGTGCGTAAAGATAACTAGATTCTTCTTTTCTTATTTTTTTCCATCAAATCTACACGTGGCTATATTCGGGTCGTTACTCGCGAGAAAGAACGTATTCGCAAGTTTGTGCAAGGCCAACTGGACATTTGAAATGTCAGAACAGACAACCTGGAAAGTGCAAGGAATATCTAGATTATACTCGTTCAATGATATATTATTCATAAGGAACTGAAAAGTAACAACAAGTGTAACGTCGTTACTTTCATCGTTACCTCAGAAAAAGTAACAAAACTACAGTTACAAGTTACATTCTTAAAAAGTAACTCGTTACAGTTACAAGTTACCAAAATGTAACGAAATTAGAGTAACGCGTTACTGGCAGCGCGTTACTACCCAAGACTGCTTAGTTATCAGCTATTTCTGAAGTGTTCAACAGAAATAAAATTGGAAATGAAAATACATGGTTGTTTTTACTACTCGATAGGCAGTTTTTATGATTTGTTACACAACTTGAATACAAAGCCTGACGTAGGTAAAATACTGGAGGTTCATTCGCCAACCGACAAATTGCAGTTTTCAGTTTCGTCGGAGTTGAACCGGAAACGGGAGAGAGTTTAAACATTTTGAACGTCAGGCACACGCGACAGAATGCCACCGATGAACACAATGCTACCACCCGTGGAATATGGACCAAAAATCTGTTTTTCGATAAGTTTCCTAGTTTTTTTTTTAACAAAATAAAAACAGATTGCAATATTTGCCCCCCGCGGCCTCTCTCAACTTTCACATCGTCTTTCCGGGAATGTGGTTGTCACGTGGTTGTGACGTTTAATGGGGAGGTAGGTCTCCGGCTTCGCAGACGGCTTTGGCATCTGTCAGAATGTTTAGACACGCAATGACAAAACGTAAAAAAAAAAAAAAAAAAAAAAAAAAAAACATAAAAAAAATTATGCAGCTCGTGGCCTCAGCGTCTCATTAAACATTTCTTTGAAATGCAATATTTTATTCATTTCTTTTATAGCTTCTGTGGGTCCGTATGTTTCACTTTACGTGATAGCGAAGCAGAAGTTACATGCAAAAGCACGTTCTTCTGAACGATGCTCGCACTGCACGAGCGCGCGTGCTATACTTCGTCTTACCTTAGCATGGACCAGAGCCTTTTATACTGGCATGGACTAACTGCGAAGGCTGTGCAAGCGCGAGCGGCCAGCCTTGACTGCCTTGACTGGAGCACTCTCTGCAGGAGCGCCCGTGCAGCCGCCGAGGCTACATCCGAAGCAACAAATAGCTCGCGCTTTCAGCATGCGCGGCTAACAATAGTCCATGCTAAGGTGAGGCGAGGTATTGGCGACGTGAGCGATCGAAAGTGTCGCTGTGGTCGGCCTGCCACGATTAGCCGAATGCTGACAATGACGTCAGCAAAGGATGTCTCATCGACGGAAATAAGAGGAATGTAAGAACTTCAAATTCGACAGTGTTGGCAGTGTTGCTTTGAGAGCGCTATGATTTCAGGCTACCATCATGCCCATTACAAACACCATCGAACTTGTTGTTCACAAGGTAATGACGTCACGAAAGGTAACCGGACAAGGGCGCCACTGAAACATCTCGCCGCTAATAGGCAGGGACGCTGAAAGCTCGGAGCTCGCTCTTGTAGCGTCAGCTACGGTGGCATTTTGAACGAAACGGAGTATAAAAAACTGTAGTTGGGGAAGCATAATGACGCACGTTCGAAACGCGAGCAGAATATTTTATTTTGAGAGAACTGTGCGCGTCTGCCTTTCGTATATTTTCTGTTTTTATTCTTTTTCCGTGTGAACTGTATTCCATCCAACGCGCTCTGCTACGTGTACCTGAAGCTATGCTTCGTTTCGCCTTAGGTCCGCGCGCGGCCGTTCATATGAGCCGAAGGGCCGATCAAACAGCGAAAGAGGCAAAACGTCATGCCGTGCTTTCTGTTGTTGTTGGAACCAGCCGGTATTCGCCGTCTGTCTGTGCACTGTATGCTCCTCCGCGGGCCAGTCAAGCGCAAACAGCACGCCATGACGTTGCGCTTTTTACGCTGTTTGATTGGCCCTTCAGCTCATAACATCGGCCGCGCTCGGACCGAAGATGAAACGAAGTATAGGAGTCATCGCACCGGTGCCGAAGAATGTCACGACGATGTGATTTCACAATTCGCATTTGAGTTGAGGATTAAAGCTAAGGAGGAAGAAATAGGAAAATCGTTTAGTGACCCCTTTAAAATCATGGTTGCCAGTTATCTGAAGCTTTATATGAAATCACAGGAAAGGCTTTTCCGCCCTCCACAAACGCTTAAACATTTCGCGACAGAGCAAAGCAATATTACATGAGCTTGCAAACACCGAATCTAATGCTGAGGAAGTAGCACTTTTGAATCATGACGATCAGCAGTTCCGTCCGCTCTGCACAAGAACCAAAATGGCGGCGCCGACAACAACGTCGGGGAACGGAGTGCCTAGTGCCACTAAATAAGCTACGCTTCGGAGTAACGACACTTGGCCATATTGTGTCTTAAAATCATGGTTGCCAGTTATCTGAAGCTTTATCTGAAATCACAGAAAACGCCTTTCCGCCCTCCACAAATGTTTAAACAGTTCGTAACAGAGCAAAGCAATATTGCGTGACCTTCTTAACAACGAATCTAAATCTGAGGAAGTCACACTTTTGAATCATGACGATCGGCAGTTGTGTCTGCTCTGCATACGAGCCAAAATGGCGGCGCCCACAACAATGCCGGGGAACGGAGTGCCGATACTCTAAGCGCAGCTCATTTAGTGACTCTAGGAGTGCCGGTACTCTGAACGCAGCTTCTTTAGTGACTCTAATGCGACTATAGATTGCCTTCTTAGCCAGCGAAAGTGGCGCCAAGCAAACGGCGTGCGGTACGCGCCGTTTGCTGTACACCCGGTGCGGCCGATATCGGCTTTGCCCAACGGCTTTGCTGGAGAACTGCGAGGTTTATTTGCATCTAGATTTAGAGAACAGTTCCGAGACGATGCATATAGGACTTAGTGACGCCATGGCAACGCGCAATGCCTTGTGAGCGCTTCCTTGCGCCTTCCTGTCAGTTAGAGGAGTATATGACCGCGGCCGATGCCGCGAGCTATTCTAGAGTAACTATAACAGCCAATGGACCTTTTGTAGAAATACGCGGTGCACATGCGCGGAGTATTTGATGCGCCTGGGTTCGAGAGTATCTAGTTCTAAACAATCCGCCATCTTGCTTTTCTCGCCTTTGCGCGCCTTGGAGACCATCGAGACTCAAGTTTTGATGTTGCGAACAAGGTGAACACGAGTCATCGTACTGACGACGCCCGTTCTAGATTACGACGTGCACCGCAATCATGCCGGTGAACTGTGTAGCCTTCGGCTGTCGGAACTATTATCGCCCGGGTTGTGGAACTAGCTTTTTTCGCTTCCCGTGTGCTAAGCTTCATCCCGTTAAGCGGGCAGCCTGGATTCGTGCCCTCAGGAGAGTTGACAAGTACGACCCCTCGAAGAACTTGAAGCCAAGTTCTCACCCAAGGTGAGAACCTTTTGTTAGCAATCAGGTCAGCTGAACACGAAAAAACGAGGACACGAAGGAAAGAACTGGACAAAGACAACGCTGACGCTGACTATCAACTGAATTTTACTTTGTCTTCTTCCCGGCCTAGGCCCTTTTTTTCTTTCTTTTTCTTCTAACGGCAGGATAAACACTTATAAAAACCTTTTAGCCTAGTATTCAACGGGGTGTGGCAGACCGCTATCTTCTCCTTTTTCTTCAATGGCCAAGGCCTCCAGCACTTCACGCGCGAAGGAGTTCTTGTTCCTATGAAAGACGGTTATGCTGGTGAGCTCGGCATCGCATCCACAGGTCCGGCAATGAGCTGACAAATGTCCTACTGATGTGCTTCTCACCGAGGCTGCGTGCTCCCTTGCTCTATCATTTATACATCGGCCAGTTTGGCCAATGTATAGATGCGAGCAGCGAAAGAAAACTAAGAGCAGCAAAAAGAAAACGAACCGGTAGCACATAAGAAGCCTAACGTGGACGTTGTTTTCTCTACAAATACTCTCCAACCCAGTGCGCCTCAGGTTCGTCCATCGCCCCATAGGTGGCAGCACATATTCGCCAAAAGGTCCATTGAGCTCCGCGCGAC